ATTTTCTGAGGAAAAAAGTTGCTTTCTGAACATCCCCTTCTAAAATATTTTTCTAACATTTGTCCTCAGATTGTTTGCAATAATCAAGTCTTTGTCAAAGACACAAAGTAAAAAAATATACCTGTAATATCAATGCAATGATAATGCATACAGCAACACAGCTTGCAATACACCTGAGAATTCAAAGTGCAAGTAAATAAATAAAGATTGAACAAAAAAATATTGGAGGAGCCATTAGATTGGCAATATTGTTACAATCCTATCCATGCTTTAGTCCAAGGCATTAGACAGAGGATAATGTTAGAAAAGGTAATAAGCAATGATTGTCTGTGAATATGTGAAAGTCATATATTTGAACTGCAGATAAAGACATGAATATGAAAGCGATCTTTGCAGTTAGGAACACTTCTTAAGCAGTAGTGAAAAGAAGGCCTTCTTCTTCTTCTTCCTTAACTGTGAAGATCGCTTTCATATTCACGTCTTTATCCGCAGTTCAAATATATGACTTTCATATCCTCACAGCTGTTTATTCACCACTTCACGGGTTTATTTGGAACCAACACAGTGGCCAGCTCCCAGTTGGCTTGTTAGCTCAGTTGGTAGAGCACTGCACCAGTATTGCAGAGGTCATGGGTTCAAATCCCGTACAGGCCTGAATTTTTTTCAGGCCTTCTTTTCACTACTGCTTAAGTAGAAAGATTGCTTTCATATTCAAGCAATGATTGTATAAATCAATATACAGTAGACAGTTTGTTACAGCAGTTGAACACATGATCTATTGGCATTTTATTGCAATAGCAATGTGGGTTTCAGGCAACAATGTGCATCCAAGTGATGAGAGATACCAATTGGGAGCAAACTGGGAAATGATCAGAATTCTTTCCTAACCCCTTTCACCCTTCAACTCCCATGAGTGACCAAGACAGGATATTTCTTTACAATATCAATAAAATATCAAGCAGACAAGAGATGAGAATAAAGAAAAGTATCAATTAGGGGATTATAAGTTGATCGAATACCAAATTCTCCAAACTTACATGATGAGAATTGTATGGCAGACATTAAGGAGAATTTATTTTACAAAATAATGGGGGTAAAAGAGTTAATGGCTTTCCCCACCTTTTCCAAGCCTCACTAAGTGCTCTTAGTTTTCTTTAGATTCTTCCAATGGACAATAATGTACACTTGGAAGCATGAACTTTATAAAGTCTTTCATCAAATTTTGACTTTCTCTTTTCCTATCACCACCTACAACTTTTCAATAAATACAATCCATAGAGCTTCTTACCTGGGATCACAATGAGTAGCCTTGCAAATTCTGACTGCATTTGTTGCAACTTCATTTAAGTTGTGAAAGTGAGCAATACCCAGAGCTGCCACTCTCATTACTGCTCCATTAGATGGTGATTCAAACTTGTTTGCCACTGATCTCGCAGCAGCATGGGGATCACTCATAAACTGTGGTTCACAAACAACCTGGAAGGATATTTAAAGGAGTTATGTCACAATTTGTCCATCTTGTTAAAACCTTTATCATTTTCAAATGTTCTAGTTTCATTTAAGTTTTTCTCACAGATAAGGTGTAACTTTTTTACCAAATGCGAAGTACATGTATCTTTATAAGGGTTTTAGTCTACCCTTATTGATAAAAGCAATACTCATTTACATTGGAAATATTGTTCTGCTATAATAACTTTAAATTTTATAAAGTGCAACTTGAGGGACTTTAAGAATTTTGTCACAGGATAAGAGGAAATGGTTTCTAAAAGGAAGAATACAAACATACCTGTACAATAATTTTTGACTGGATTTTTTTCAGATATTAAGTAAATTATAGTTAATCAGTTCATAAAAGATTTGAGAGGTTATTGATTTCCCTCTCATCTCAAGACTTCTGAACAGACCTCAGCAAAGACCTATGAAAGCTGGCAACTGATTCTAAATTAATATTATTGGATCTAACAGGATAAGAATAACTCACCCAGATAGACATTACTCTCACTGTTAGGAGAAGGCCAAAAGAGAAAAGAAGATCATGTTCTTTGTCAAAGGGAACCCCTAATTTAGTAACGAAGGAGTTACTAGTCATACTGTATTGCAAATACATCTCTTACCTTAGCAATAACTCCCCTGACCCCTCTACCGACAGTATCTCCCAGTTCAGGAAAGCCGTATTTACACCAGGTAAGAAGGCTCTTGGCAAACTCCAGTTCATCAACAACACCAGCCCAATGAAGGATGTTCTCAAGGATCAAAACCTTTACATTTGAGATAGCAAAAGCAGATAAAAGGTACATGTAAATAGGACTAAATCAAATGGCTGTTTGTTTTCAACACTTTCATCTATCTAATCATTTTACATGTAAACAACACCTTCAATTGTCCTCACACTACATTTATATTTGAAAGTGACCTAACCAGCCGTCTAAACCTTTACAACTTGTGTGCCCAGGTGTATTTCCAAGTTGAAATAACTAGTATGTATGTGGCATTGCAGAGGGGGCTTGGGGCAAAGGTAACACATAAATCCAGTGACAAGGCTTCATGTCTCTTCACTGTCAAAAAGGTTAAACCCAGGTTTTTGACAGACTTAATTCAGAGTAATTTGGTTTTATCAACTGAGTTGAATTCTTAGTCTTGTATTACCCCCACTGATGCAGCACTTCAGTTTCTTTAAAAAACTTATCCCCTTTTTCTATGCAAGAAAAGAGAAATATTCTACTTTCCTTTGATTCAAACTCATCATTTTACTTTATCATATACAAAACCTTGAGAGGACACATGTGCAAGGAGTACCTGTTTGCATAGCATATTTTAAAACTTAAACTGTATCTAAAGAGCACGACTCACAGTCTGGTCAAATGAGTCAGTCCAGTCTCCTTTCTTCCATTTACTTCTGTGTCTGTCTTTGACCATGTGCTCCCAGGATAATGAATCCTTATCATAATGAAACTGGCACTCATCAGGCATCATAAATTCTGTGCACAATCCCACAGCATCACCGATGGCTGCTCCATACAGACAACCAACAATCTTATCCACAAGTTCATCAGGCGGAAGGTAATGTGCATTTACTGGTGGTCTAAGAGGTGTCTTAATGCGGCTTGTAGCATTTGTATTTGTTTGTGTTTGGACATACTGTGTTCTTGCTGTGTGAGGGTTTGATGGTGCAAGGACAAAAACATCACCCCTGACACGTGGAAATTCATTGCTTTTTCCTAAGAGCTTTCCTTCTGGTTCTTTTGGATTTTGATTGCGTAAATATGCCAAAACTGATTCAGAGCCTTGATTACAAATTTTCTGTGGTGGACATTTACACTTGTTGAAGATTGCCAGGATCAGTTTGAGAGATTTGGATTTTCCCAATGTTAATGGTAGTGCATCAAGTTCATTGTAACTGACATTTAAACTTTGAAGTGACTCCATACTTCCAAGATTTTGTGGTAAGCATTTCAACTGATTGTGTGACAAATCAACTTTTTGAAGTCTTGCAAGATAACAAAATGATTCTGGCAGTTCTTGTAACCTATTGTTATTTAACAGTAATGTCTTCAAGTGGAACAGGTAGCCAAAGGAATCTGGTAAATAAGAGAGGCGATTGTGGCTTAAATCAACAAATGACAGATGAGGCAAGTAGATGGCAAATTCAGATGGTATGTAGGTGAAACAGTTGAATGATGCATCAAACTTCTCATAGAATGACACACTGCTCAACAACTCCAATGGAAATTCAACCAGTGCATCATGACTATCTTCCTTTGAATGCTGGATGAAAAGACAAGCAAACAAACAATTTATAAAGAGTTATTATAATAACTTTGATATGCAGCATCTATACTTTCCTTTCATTTCCAAGCTCTAAAATGTAGACATCACTAGTTTCACCTAATATCTTAAATAAAGTTAAAGGCTATGAGCTCTAAGGTCAAGCTTATCCCAGTTTCTGGAACATTAATTAGATTAACCTAATTGCTACTTTCCCTATAGAAAGAGTGAAAGTCTCAAGGTATCTGCAACCAATTACGTTTTCAGATACCCAGAGTTTACTGGTACTCATCTATAGTCCTTGGTAATATTGCTCAGGGCTTGGAATTTTCCTTTTTTCTCCACAAAATTCCAGCCACAAATTCAGCGATCGTTTCTTCATTTCTATCGGCGATAAATAAAAAACGGAGGGTTGATTCAAATAGGGAGTAAATTTGCATGAATGAATGGTCAACCAATTTGCAAAAACTTTGAAGTACTTGTTTTTTCTTCATACCTCAGACAAAATAACTTTCTTACGATTTGATATTGCGCTCCACAAGTAATTCACCTCGAAAATTTTCGCTGGAGAGGTTATTCTACCGTGACCGCAAAGAGCTCAGTTGAGTAGGCTAATGACAAGTAACCAAAGAAGCTTATTCCATAATCGCATGACCTTTCAAAGCCGCCATAATTTTCACGCTATTGAATGCCTTTTTGACTTTCAAGTATGTTGATACAATTAATACCGTTAGACTTTAAATTTAATGACTAAACAACATAACATAAACACAACTTAACCATAGAGAACTTAAGAATCAATACTCATTGAAAGAAGGAGATCAGTCTTTAAAAAAACCCGATCATCCAACCAAACGAGGCGATTTTCCATATCGTTTCATAACTTACGCTCCCAATTATGGTTACCTGTTGATATTCCTCATATGCTAGTGATCGACTTATATTGAGCTCTCGAGGACTCAAACCTTGAAGTTGACCCACGTTGACTTTAGAGCTAGATTCTATGTTTCCCATTAAATTATGAATTGACCCCTGTGTCTTATTTCGGCGAATTTTCTACGTTTCTATGAAATGATTAGGTATTCCTCAGTTGAAGCATACTTGGTACGAACCGCTGAGACTCTCGAAATCTTCATACTAACAGAGCTTTTGATTGGATAAAAGATGCTTTGGCACACGACTCCTTAATAAAACACCAATGGGTGATCACCTTACATAACGTCTTTTTAGTCAGTGATTCATCAACAAAAATGGCTGACACAGGTGATGGAGATCAAAGAATATCAAGTGAAATAGACGGTACGTATTTGAAATTTAGCGGTGAATTGTGATTCGGCAGAAACTAGAGTGACTTTTTACCTAAATGAAACAAGTTGATTCCAGAAAAGTTAAAATTTCAAAATGTTCTTTTGTTGTTTCATGTTTCAATTAATGTAGTTTTCGTAATTTAGGATTTCAGCCCACTCTCAGGTAACTTTCAGGATGTTAGACTTATATCTGTGGCAGGTATTTCTCTCGGTCGTCATCGTTCTAAGAAATATAAAGGAATTGCAATTTTTTTCACGATTGATTTGGACTAGATATGATTTACTTTAAAACTTTCCTTTGTATCTTTTTGATGTAAGCTCACGAAATAATTGATGTCGACGTAGCTTCCCAGAATTTTGAACTACCAAAATATGTTTGATAATAACAATAACAATGAGGCTTTTGCTAAAAATAAGTTAGCTTGAAATAAAACCTTAAGTTTGATTTTTAAACTAATTATGTACTAACTCCCCCAAACTAAAATTCAGCTCGTTTTGAAGGCTTATTAACTGTAAGCTAATATTTTAGTGTTAGCTAGGATATAACAAGGGATTGCCTGGTTGCTATGGATGCATGTATATTTGCAATTAAAGATTGCTTTGATCAAGGCATATGAGTCTCATAAGGCCTTAAAATGGTGAACAACAGTCAAAATAGGAGACGTATTTGGTTTCTGTGAAATGAACAAAAAAGTACTAGTATTTGATGCACACTGTTCCTAGATCTTATGGTGGTCCAGTGCATGTTATTCTTCTTCAACACATTGTCAGGTACCCTTGAAAATCCTGCTTAAATAATTAGTTACACTCCAAGTTGGAGCAAGGTACTTTTAAGTGTTGATCCCCCTTAGCAACCCCCCTGGGTATTTAAACTCGTGAAGACTGGCTCATGAAAATTTTTTTCCCCCCCCACTCCCCCAGGCTAAAATTTTATGCAAATGCTCCACTCAAGCACAATTTTTTATTCACAATTCTTTATGTGATCAATGAATGTTGTAGAATTTAGTAAAGTCACATTTTAGTTTTTGGTGTGTTATTTTGCATCTTTTTATGATGGGAAACTATTCTTTTTAAGCAACTCCTTCATGAAAGCACGCTCTTTACCTTTAAACTATCCCTTAAAAATCAAAACATGTATTATGCTGTCAAAACTTGACATTTTCAGTTCAAATTCCCCACCTCACCCAAGTAAGATTCAAATTCTCTACCTTTCAAGCAGGGATAACAGTCAAATGTCCATGGGTCACCTCGAAGGAGGGGGGGAGGGGGGTGTATTGGTGCACTTTAGCAAAGGTTCCTGCCAACACAATATAATGACTCAGAAAATTGGTCTTGAACACAGATGGTTCTCTCAGAGTCAAATGAACAAACCATCGACTCAAAGTGCTTGCCCTTTTAACAAAGTTTTGCAAACATTACCCCTGAATTAACTAATTTTTTTTCACATGTACTACTAAAGAGAAAGATGTTTATTGTCTTGTCATGAGCGATCATGGAGAGATCAAAAACATCCTTCTCTATTTCTTTACCAAGCTCAAAACTTACCATCTCCCCTATTCTATGTACTAATATAGTTTCAAAAACATTATTTCTCATTTGAATAAACATTTCAGAACAAAAACCAGAAAGTAGCCAAGAGGTAGAGAGTGAAGAGGGTGACAATCTTAATTTTGAAGATGCAAGGGAAGGAGGAAATGATGAAAGCTTTGGTGACAGTGATGAGGTTGAGGATGAACAGCTCATGGTGATAGAGACTCCAGAAGGATTGACCCTTGTAGAACCAACAGATAATTCATCTTTTTATATTGTTCAGGAACACGAAGGACATGAAACCCCTCTAGGTACATTTAACATTCATGGTGTGATCCAAGTTTTTCAGCGGTTGCAAATCTTTCCATTTTAGATTTGATTTTGTTCTGTCTTAAAACCTCCAAAATTTTGAAACAGTGGTAAGCAAAACATTTTGAAGCATGCAAAGATTTGTACCACGGTTTTTAATAATGCTTTGAAGAGTGATCTTCTTTTTAGGACTTCATCTCGCATGCCTTTCACAAAAAAATTATTGGGTAAAAGTCACCTATTTGTTAACATACCTTTTCAGCATCAGTGAATAAATCCAACATTAGAAATATGTTTAAAAAATATATAGAGGATTATTGTTTATTAGTAAATTTATGATACTTTATTTCAGTTGATATTTGTGAACAAAATATTTAAAAAGCTGTTAAACTAAGTCTTGGAAATACATTTGTACATTAGTATGCTCTTCAAACTTCCTATTTTCACTGGAGTGAATATTCTCTTGTTCTAATGTGAAGAAGCACTTTGTGTTGATTAGCCTACTTTCACTAGCTGGACCATTAGAACAACCAAATTTAGCATACATATGTTAAATATATGAACTAGAAGGGAAAGTAATTTTGAAACAAAGGCTTTTCTTTTCTATCCACAAGAGGATGAGAGATGCAATAACTCTGTATGTAACTTATGTGAGGTTCTTGTAATCCAGAGATGGATTGACAAATCTTGAACTGTGAAGAAGGAGGAATGTTGAAATCTCATTTAGGGCAATTTAAATGCATGATTTCAGACTTGCTGTAAGGAATCTGTAGCATAGGTTAAAGGACTTTTTCTTTCACTTTGTTCTTGAAAATTCATTTTGGTTTCTTCTTCATGATAGGAATGCCTCCTGAGCCTGAAATCCCCCAGGATGTTAGTATATCTGAAGAACTCCTAATGAACATCCAAAGGTTGAGAAGAAGCTCAAGCCCAGAGCTCCCTGATACAGTAACCAAGCTTGAAACTCCTGAGGGCTGCAAAGTTTATCTTGTTGGAACTGCTCACTTTAGTAAGGAAAGCCAAGATGATGTGGCAAAGGTAAATACCAAATGACTTACCTCTGTCAGCAACAGTTTTATTGACACCTCTCTCCGAACATAGCAGTTGAGTTACTGAGTTAGTAGAAGCTTGTCTGGTGACACCTCACTACTGTGGATTCCCAGTTTAAATGAAAGATTGCTGAATTTCTTCAGTGTAAAAATTATAACTGACTGAAACAAACTTCCACCATTGAAAACAGATTATCACATCCACAGTTTTGCTGATACTTCCTTACCAAAATTATTTTACTATAACACAACTCAAATTAACAGTGTTTAATGGCCAAAAATGTGACAATGATTACTTTGTTGCAGACTATTCAAGCTGTCCAGCCTGATATAGTGTTAGTTGAACTTTGCAAAAGTCGAGTCGACATTCTTAAATATGATGAAGAATTTCTACTCAGGGAAGCAAAGAATATTGACTTGCAAAAGCTGAGACTTGCTATTAAACATGTAAGTACAATTTGTGATGCCTTTATTGATCACAAAAACCACTGCACACCACAATGTAGATGTGCTGTAACTGGTTGTAGGTTTGTGTGTAATTGTAGGGCTGGGGTGGAAAAGAGGTAACTAGGATGTTAGAAAGCTAAATATACGTTCTCACAGAGATAATAAAAATATATGTTTACTTTTACCACAATTGCATCTTCATAATGGGAATTAAACTGAGTGGAGTGCAATTTGGTCTGATGGCAAGGATTACCAGAAATGTCAAAATGGATGTATTACACATTAGAGAAGAGAAGGGCATGTGTGGTTAGCTAATCATGGTGAAGATTTTCTCTGTTTTCTCAGTCTCAGAGCCAGGATTTTGGCTAGGTCATAGCAAGATTCTAATCTGAGGGACAAATGTCTTTATATTCTGCACTTTGATATTTTTTAGTTGCTTTGTACATAAAGACATGGTTAACTTTTTCAATTGAGGAATTGTGCACATGATCTCTTCATAACTTGGATTTCTTTTGCTGGTAGAGTGGGGTAATAGCTGGTGTGATGCAAGTTCTCTTACTTAGTGTGTCAGCACACATAACCAAGCAGCTTGGAATGGCCCCAGGTGGAGAGTTTAGAGAAGCTTACAGAGAGGTGAGATAAAAATCTTTTACATGACTGGAGTGAATGGAATATTGTGCTTGTAATTGTGGTCTGAAAGAGTTATATTGTATCTTATTTTATTTTGCAGGCTAGGAAGATACCAGAATGTCAAATTCATTTAGGAGATCGTCCCATTCAGGTACAGCATACGTTTACTTTTCTCATTTTCTTGTACATGCTTTGTCAAGCCTTAATTTTTTTCAGTCTCTCTTTCCTTGCCTGAAGCTTCACAGATCTTGAAGAAATTGTAAATTTACTAAACAAAGGGTTTTCTTTATCAGTGGGTTTCCTTATCTGCTGTTGTTGTGGAGAAGGGTGACAAGGTTAATGTTAGTGTACAATGTAGTGTATTGTATTACAACATTATTATTATTATTGTTATTATCATTATTATTATAATTGCACTTAGAGTATGATTAGACCATATTAATGTTGATAGTGCACTTTGAAACTGCCATATTAATGGTACCCATCTGTCTCTTCAGGTGACACTTTCTAGGGCAATGGCTGCATTGAGTATATGGCAAAAAATGAAATTAGCCTGGCATCTTATGATGACTAAAGATCCCATTAGGTATGTGCTGTTCACTTGTGTATGTAGATCTTAAATATTAGATATGGACTGTGTTAGATAAGAGACTGATTGTGACCTTATTTTGATATACCTCAGTAAGGCCTACCCTATCAGGGTAGCTTTTTGTAAGATTCTGCAGGATCTTGATCCTGATCCTATGAGTTCTGTGCAAAATCTATCCACAGAAAATTAACTAAGCCTTTTTAAAATAACACTGGAGCACATGTGGATGGAGATGCAGTGGTCTTGAGGTTAATGTGCCAACTTGTTTTGACTTTAATCTCACTTTGCCTCTTCAGCAAAGATAGTAAATCAAACAAATCTAGATTTGGATTTACATTCTTCTTCCTCACCCATTTCAGATCATGCAATGATTTATTCTGGAGGTTGCATCTGTTCTGTTTTTTAACATAATCCCATGTGCTCAGCTACATGTACGAATTTCACCACTGTAGGAACTAAACCCATCAAAGGAATCATCATCATATGATCTCAATTGAGTGTCATCATGGATGTTGGAATGGGAAGGGTAACCTGCAGTGATACAGTGTCCTGTCCAGAGAGGGCACAGGTTGCAACTCTCTCTCTGCTATTGCTCTCATTGCGACAATTTTAGAGGTGTCAGGCCTTATGTTGACAGCATTGATAAACACTGAGAACCAAATCAATGAGTACAATATTTGTTATTGTGTGCGTGTTGTAAACTTTTTTTGCTGAGCATGGGTTTGGTTGAATGTTCTGCCTTTTTACTTTACAGCGCAGAGGATGTAGAGAGATGTAAACAAAAGGACCTTCTAGCTGAAATGTTGGCTGAGATGACTGGAGATTTTCCCACGTTGTATAAAGTTTTTGTTTCTGAAAGAGATCAATACCTGGCGAGATCACTAAGATTATCCGCCATGCCCATTGAAATCCACAATGCCGATGGAGGTAACTGACGAGTTTATTAGCAGTATATCATCGCTGTGAAATTATGAGATTGCTTAAATTTTTCCGTTTTGTGGTTTTTTATACTTCAGCTTGTTTCATATTTAATTGTTTTGATCTGCTTCTGATCTCCGCACGCACCTCTGGTTGATCATGCAGCATTCTGGATATGAAAAATTAAATATAACTTTCATCATTTAGCCATCCCTCATACAATTCATTTTTGTACAAGTTACAACATAACATAGGGACAAATTTATTATGTGCTATTACCTTTTGTTGTAAGCTTGTCCCCCGCGATGTTATGATTGTACGCGAAAATTTCACCGTGTGAATCCAGCTCGGAAAAGTTGCCGTAGTTTGAGTGGGTGCAAAACCTAATTTTTACTTGAGAGATACCACAATATATCAACTCAGTAGGTTCTAAAAACGTGGGAGAAAAAAAACATCAGAAATCGACAGGGAACTTTGATGGTTAGGAATGGATAAAATTTAAAATGACTGCAAATGCCAAACTCATGATGCTCAAACATTGCATCTCGAGACATTCAAAGTGAAGGTAGAGATCTTTGCCTGTCCAGGATATGTTCATGTGCCTCGGCTAAAAACAAGGTCCTGCGGATTACAGGGTTCCTCTGCTCTGTGTTTCCACTTGAGAAATACTTACATGTACCAGCATGTGCTTCCCTTAATGAAGACCCATGTCAGTACTACGTGTTTCCTTTTTTTGTTGTTCTTTGTTCCAAAAACTCGACTCATTACTTTCTTGTGCTGTTGCAGAGCCTCAAGGAGTCGTCCCCAGTGTTGTGGTGGGTGTGGTCGGAATAGGACACGTGGATGGAATTACTGATAATTGGGAAAAGGACATTGACGTGAAAGAACTATTAAGGTAAGCTTTTGGTTTTAATTTCTTTGGTTAGAACATCGTTTCGTTTTCAAAAGCATGTCTGTTGCGGCAAACGAACATCAAGGCTCGATGAAATGCCAAGAAAATCGTGACCGGAGAAAAATGCCAACCAAATCCAGGGGATTATATTACAGGGACATAACTTTAATCAATCTCGTAAACTGTAAACGAATTAAAAAAGGGACTTATATAATAGATTGTATTCAATTAAACACGTGGCGACTTAACAGCGTAAATGAGTCTAACATAATAAAGGAACTAATAAATGAACCAAATGCTACGGCAAACACAAAATATATATACAAATAAAGACGAAAGAGCTTGCTCGAAACGAGATAAACAACAAAACAAGCGAAAACAACTTACATATCAGTCCCTATACGCCGGTGGCTTGAAATCACACTTTATAAATTAACTTTGGATGAACAGGCGATTAATGAAAGCGGGAGAGAAAAACTATTTAAAGGAATCAAATGGCACAAAGGCCAACTGTAACGCAAATGTCACGCAAGTTTGAAAGTCACGCATTTACAATGTCCGATAAGCGTATGTAACATTCCCGGTCTGCAATGTCCCTCACACCGGGTGCAGTTTTATTGGAGTTTTAAGAGGGTTCAACTAGCACTAGTGATACCCGAGGTTTAATTAGAAACTCTTAATAGTGGCCAGTTTACATTTACTTATTAACTCAGTTGATAAAACCAAAGTATTAGTTTAAAGGAGAGTCGAGTTTTTGTGTCTAGTGTCATTGTCACTCAGTTGTGGCTTCTCAGACTATAACCTTTTCTTCTCCCTCCACCGTCTACATCACTTCCTGTATGACGGCAAATGTGAATGCAGTGCGTATGATTCGGTTAAGCTTAGTTGGTACGTTTCCTTCAAACCTCGAGTAACTTGAGCGATCAGAGGCTCGAGAGCGCAAAATGTGGGCTGGTTTGCAGCACACAAGCTTATCCAACTTGGGAATAGTAAACGCAATGAAATGTTTGTTTCACTTCTTTCAGAATTCCAGAAGCAAGCAGAGCAAGTAGGCTTATACGCCTTTCATTGAAAGCCTTTGTAGGGATTTTCCTCGCTTGGGGAGTTTACAAACTTGGAAAGTACACACGAATAGGCTCGTATATTCCATTCTTAAACTGAATAATAATCACGGACTTGTCAAATTGGTTTTGGTAATATGAGCGAATATGGCCTCGAAATTAGTGAATATTTAAATGTATTTATTCCTTCCCAAGATAGGAAAGGGGATTGTAAAGTGAAGGACTGAAACTGTGTTAATCTTGAAAGGGTGAATTTTCACATTTCCTCGCAAGAATACAGCCAGTATTTGAACAAAATCTAAAATCTGATGAGCATTGTCCTCACCACCTGAACGAGAAGGAATTGAATGCTTTGAATCGATAAGAAGTATGTTACATCAAGGCTTTTGGAGGAAATTTAGAGTAGAACTTTTACAAGTAAATTTTAACATATCTCACTTTTATCGTCATTGATTACAGAAATTAAGAGATAGATTAAGTTGTGCTGCTATTAAATTATTTTACTGTGACATACATTGGTTTTTAAAGAACATTATAGCACCCTTTAAAAAGATTTTGATTTATTAATATTGTCGAGTATTTGTTTGTGACCAGTACACGTGTCCAATGACATATCATACGATTGCATGGATTGCGTGCTCGAGTACACAGTGTTATTATTCTGCACTGTATATCACGTGATGACTTTTAGACAGGCACTCACGTGATGTCTTTTAGACAGGCGCAGCTATTTAAGCCTAGTAGTGAGAATGAAGCTCCCTCCACCCTGAGTCAGATGAATTTGAAATGCAACTTAACTTGTCTACTCTGGAAAACGAACAAATTATTTCCCGTCCACACTACAAGGATCACAAGTTACAGAAACATTTAAATGCACCTTTGAGCATGCTAGCAGTCAGGCTTGATGATCAACGGCGGGCTGGTAAGTATGCTCACCTTCCTCCGATCGAAGAGCAGACGCGAGAAACAGCAAAAACATCTAGCCTAGCGTTTAAAGAAGACCCAATTAGTTCGCCATAGAATTTAAGAAGCTTTGACGTTTAGTTTTACGTAAAGATCTTTTTTTTTCGGCCGTCCAGTCTGAAACGTCAGGGTGGCGTTTTCAAATTTATCCTCATGGGAAGCGTTTTTGAAAAGCTCTGTTTTCAGTGAGCGCGTTGACCGGGTGGTAAAATACTAGAAGCTGATGCTTTTGTTGCGCAAATTCACCTTCATATAATTTTTTTGTAATTTGGTGATAAGGAACACGCGGACTTTGTTGGCACATATGGCTAAATCTGGTACTAGAGACAATCAAATGAAAGAAAATTGAAGCACATTTCCTGGTTTGCATTCTAACGGGTCAGTTGAAAAGAAATATTTCGCAGCGCACAAAACAAGAACAAGAATCGCGCAGACTATCATTGAACTTGCACGTGGTCAGCACGCGACCTAATCCCGTTGACCAATCAGGGTCGTTTAGTACTGTTTTCATAGTTGTCAGGGCGTGTTCTGCGCGCGCTTGACGTCACAGTGTCCTCAGTTTATGAAACCGGCGCGCGGAATGTGGATGCGTCATTTCTCTGTTGCAATTGCCTGCGAAAGTTTGCCAAAAATTTCCGTGAAATGTGAAATTGAATAAGAATGGGATGTGCTTTGAGCATCTAGAAGAAGACAAATATCATACTCCAAGTGGATCAATGCTTTGAACAAAATTCGTCAAAAAAAAGCGCGCTTTTGCGTCACGACTTGTTCAACAAAGCGACAACCAAGGTTTTTTTCCGACAATGTGTTAGTAGCCTTTATAACGTTAAACACGTGCAGCACATGCATCAAAATTTTGAGTCAATTGAGTCAGCTGATGTAAGAAGGCGAGTGAAGAGCTGAGACCGGTTTACCTTTATGATAAAAATTTATGGAGTGAGGCTAGTGCGATCACCTTTTTTTCAATACTTCTTATCCATAAGTTAAGTCATAGCTATTCCTTCCCTTTAGATAGCTCACATCAGAACAAATCGCATAATTCCGTATGTCGGTTAATATTGATCAGTCTTGCCGATTTTACATGGACGATCAGGCGATCTTTTGAGGGAGTTAAAACCTTAAACAGTAACAAATTTGCTCTACTCTGTGTTACAGCGGAGTATTGAAAATGATGAAAAAAGTGAGAAGATTCTGATACAGGTACTTAACAAGACATTTTTATTTTAAGGAATTGTAGAGATGTAAAGACAGTATCTTCCAATTTGTTTTCCGTTTGAGGCATTTCGGTGCAACAGGCACTCCTTCAAGTTGTCGTCCAATGTCACTACATTTTATTTTTTGTTTGATAAGAACGTGTACTTTTGGGGCTGAGGCTGAACTTTCTTATTTTATTTACTTATCTTTTCTTTTTTCTTTTGCTATTTGCACCTAAAAACGTTCTTAATAAGCTTCTAAAGTGGTGCGGTATAGTATTACATTAGATTAAACTTCGACTAGAAACTGAGTTGGTCTTCAGTACATCGTGCGATAACGGAAACTGCATTGTTAACTGTAGAAAATGTCCCTAAGAATTTAAGTTTAAACTATTAGACAACAGTTTAACATTTCTTCTATTATTTATACTTCTCACAAAAACAAATGAGCGAAATAAACTAAAGACGCTCTTAACTGACTCACAGCAGGGTTTGTTCTTAAAAATTTTTGGTTAATCTTGGCCTGAACGTTTTCTTAAAAAAGGTTCTTTAAAAAAAAGAAATGATATAAGAAGAGTGTACATTGCCCACGGAGGTAGCACACATCATTTTCTGGCCTTTCCATTCTCGATTTGTTGTCCACACCTTCATCAGCTTCTACTTTACTATTGTTTTCAGCTCGCGCTCCAGTATACGTCTGGATTGAAGCCATTTAGTGGAAATAATCTGCAACGACCTCCGAAATGTGCATACGGAAAATAACAGGTTGCACGTGTCCTCACGCGCTAAACAATCAATGATTAGTTAACCAAATGTTACCACAAATTAAACAAAAGGAAGTGAAACTTTTAAGCTAGTTTCAAATTCCAGCGACTCCGGTTACTTCTGGGACTAATTTGATTCAGGTACTAATTTTAAAATCGATCACATTGCCGTTGTTAATCTGTACTGTTTATTGCTATCAATCAAAACAGCCAGCAGCTGCGTACGTCAGTTCCGGAACGAAATTGTTGTAGAAGGAAACCAAAAGCCTTTAATCTAGGACTTTGACATATGTAAATGATTTGATGTATTTGAATATGCAACCGATGACAAAAGAAACTGTCAAAGCCCTATTTAGACATGATTTGGACTGTCAAATATTAATTTTGCTTTCGATTTCGCAATCAAGTGAATGATCGACTGAGTTTACGACGCCGTCTGAAGGAGTAACTTTGCAAGATGGCAACAGATTTACGAACCTTGATCATTGGTGGTCTTTTTCTCTGTCTTGGCGCACAAGTACACGGGAAGGATGGTAAGATAAATACTCTGAGTTTCGACTGGGTTAATGTTATACTCTTTGCTACTTTCATATGGATTCGGCTTTCCGGTATGGGAGTAAAGCACGTATGTTGGATGACTGGAGCGGCGAGAGTTACTCAGTGTTGCATTACTATCTAAGGGCCTTTCTAAATTATTTTGATCAGTTTTCACAATCTCCGGGATAGTCATACCAGTTTTTACACGTTTTATGATACGTAAACCTTTTAGCCTACTGTCGGAAATGGTAGACAATCATTTCGTTTGGTGCGTTTCACTAAGAGACCGGAAAGACGTGAAGTGGTGATTATGATCTTTGTTTTGCCAAGGAAAAAGGTCGTCTTGTATGTTCAGCTCGTTGGTTGACCTGCAGATGTAATTGCGGAGATTTGGGTTTTCTAGAATAAGAGGTGATTTAAAAGGAAACGTTTGCTGGTGCGTTTTCGACACCTGCCGCGCCCAAATTTAAGACCGTTCCGTTATTACGGAGCTAAAATAATCTTGCTGATTGCTCAATTGTTAGTCTCTTCAAGCGCATATAATAAGCCATTAACAGGGTAATTTAGTGTCATTAACTGAGTTAAAAACGTAAATTGGCCACTTTAAAGAGTATAAAGGCTGACGTTTCGAGAGTTAGCCCTCCGTCAATCGCTCTTATAACACTTCTTAGAGGATGGCAAGGGGTTTTAATTTTGCGTGACGCGCGATGGCCCCAAAATTTGCAGGGTGACGCGTGATTGAACTCAAACTAGACCCTGTGAGCAGGGTAACTGGGATACCTGGATGGTACTGGATCCTTGGAATCAATTGTAGCGATAATACGGGTGTCGGACTAGTATACTGAAATAGTGAGCTCAAGTCTGGCCAAGGGCATACACCTATTTCAAAACATAGGCATGCTATGCATGCAAGAGTTATTTTTTGTAGGGTGGGTGGATTACTTGAAACATTGTAAGTGGTCTACATTCTTACTAAAGGAAAGAAGAGTATTAACGCGGAAAAGAACGAAAATGTCGAATTACCTCACACACAGGTATTTTGTGGTAGATTGTGTGTTGTGTGAATAAATGTAACCAAAAATAAACTGTATTGGTGCCACGGATACCTGTTAGTACGAAATGCAGAGAGCAGACTGCAGACCGGATACAAAATATAGACTGCAGACTGCAGACTGCAGAGTGGGTATAAAATGCAGACTGAGAATCTGAAGAGTTTTTACGTCTGGTATATGTATGTTATTTGCCGGCTGGGAGGTCCGTATGGCGAAAAACTGTGACCGAGGTCTTGAAAATGCTGCCCGAGGCTGTTGCGCAATTTTTCCATTTTGTGGCGGAGGAAAAAAAAAAGACAAAAAAACAAAGGCATTTTATGACTGGGCTACCACAGATATCCCAGTAATTATCCGCGTGACGCGGGACCGGACATAACAACTTGATGCGTGAGGAAACCAATCATTCAAAGTAAATAGAGTCTTAACAAAGGTCAATAAACCGTGGCAGCAGTGACAATGTTTCCTGGTCTTTTCTGTCCTTTGCTTAACTTTCGCTTGACCTTTGATGTCTTTAATCTTCGTGGTAGGTCCAAACAATCGTGACACAGTATGCATAAGTTACTATATACTATACATTTGCATAAGGACTATGATCTTCAGTGTTTTCTTTTTGTCGACCGCCTGGCTGTGGTGGTGTGCCAGATCGTATCCAGAAAGACCAGAAAGTATCTAAATCCATCGAAGGAAAGATCTGAAAGAGTGTCGACCAAATCGACACAAACGGCTGAAACGGTTAATGACATCAGAGTTTTGGTGTCATTTTATGCCGCCGGAGAGGATGGTAATGTAATCAGAGAGCCAGTACATAAGGAGAGATTTTGTGTACCAGTTAGTACGAGTTCCAAGGTCGTCTCAAAGACCTAAACGAATTCAAAAGCCACGTTATATCTGTTACCGACATGAAGACAGTTGCCAAGCAGAAGTGGTTGGGCAAAGCTTTGACATAAATATTGCCCCGTGTATCAAAAAATAGTAAAGGTGGTGTAGACGTCTACTCAATTCGTACACGAGACTCTTGGGGCCACGAGTAGCCGCAAATTGAAAGGTGGCTAATTTTGCAATATAGCCTATGTGTGCCCGTACCTTTCCCCCCATGGTAAAACGGAAACCTAGATGGGGAGGGTACGGCTACATTAGCAAAGTTCGTACCGGTTCTCGCAAGATAACTAATGGGTCATATATGAGTTCAAACTACGAAACCATTGTCAAAATTATGACTACTGACGTATTAAACAACAAACTATGACAACTATGATGCCCAGATGAACACCTCAGATGTTGAATTAAAGAAGACAAAAAAATCTTCGTGAACAGAACTTCGAAGTGTTCCTCGTAGAAAGTACTGCCAATGAATTCTGTGGCGGGCCTTTGGCTACAGGTTAGCCTGAGTCAGGTTAGCTTAAAGGCTTATTTCGGGTTAGCAAATTAAACTAGAACTTTCCTTTTGAAATTGATTTACAGACTTAAATGTGATCTAAAGTACAAAAGCTTAAATGTCAATCAGTGTTCAAAGTCACGTAATTCTCATTCATCTTTAACGAAACATTCTCCGCCCCGATAAGGGCGTAGTTCTTATCTTCATGGATCGTAACCCTCTGCAGGGTGGATGACAGCGATCTTGGTAACTGGATGGTTATATTCTCCTGTGGCTGTCTTCACTCTGATGTTGTGCACTCGTCCATCCGACCCGGGGTACACGTTGATTATTCGGCCGACAGCCAATTTGACCCGGACAGTGTTGCTATCGGCCAAGGTTACGACATTGTCTACCTGCACATTGCGCTTTTCTACGTGCCACTTTTTCCTCGGTGCTAGCGAGGGAAATATATCTCTCCTCCAACGCTTCCAGGAAGAGTCGACTATCCTCTGTACAAACTCTAGTCGTCGTCGTGGATTCTTTGAGGTACCTTGAGGTACTTCCGATGTCGCGCGTCCTAGCAGTAAATCTTTGGGACATATATAGGCACCATCACCTGGATCATTAGGAATGCGACCAATGGGATGCTGGCTTACTAGGTTTCCGACCTCAAACAGGCAGGCGTACAATTCGAACGGTGTCAGGATTAACTCACCGATCGATTTCTTCAGTGCTATCTTGACGCTCTTGATAAGCACTTCAGCGCATCTATTCTGGTGCGGAGCAGCTGGGCCGGGTTGTAAATACCCACTGAATTCTTTTCTCTGCACAGAACTCACGGAGCTGATTAAAATCTAAATTATCGATCATTTCACGCAGTTCTTTAGCTGTACTAACCATCTGCAACCCGTTATCGCTCATCATCACCGCTAGGTAGCCTCTGATAGAGAAGAATCTGTGAAGTACCTGCATAAAATCCATTGTGGAGCAGTCCACCGCCAGCTCTAGGTGAACAGCTCTGGTGTTTAAACAGGTTAAAATAACTCCGTGGTGTTCGGTGTTCTTGTTTCGCCCTATCTTGACATTGTAAGGACCAAAGTAGTCACGAGCAGTGTTGTAGAACAGTGGGGTATGCGGTGATAGGCGAAGTAAAGGGAGATCTGCCATCCGTTGCGTCTCTGCCTTGTGTGCTATTTTTCGACAACATACACACTTGGACTTCACATACTAGCCCAGTCAGCTTGTTCGCCTTGAGGATCCAGTACTTCCTGCTTGTCTTTGCTGTTGTGGTTGCTACTCCAGTATGCCCATACATGTGCATGCTGCTTGTTATCAGCAGGGATATTCTGTGTTCGTTTGGAAGGAGTATGGGGTGTTTCTCTTCTTAGGACACTATGGCTTCGTCGATTCTGCCCCCAACTCTGATTATTCCTTTGTCATCTATTAAGGGACTGAGAGACTTAAATTTACCTTACTCTAACCGACCGTGCAGGGTTTCCTGTGCTTGCTTGATCCAGAAAGTCTCCGCCCCTTGCAGCTCTTTTTTAGGGGTCCTTTTTTTCTCTCTTGTGCGTTTCTTCTCAGTCGAATTTTCTCTGCTAGCCAGCGTAGTCTTGCCGTTACGCGAATCAGTTTCCTCCAGCTGGAGAAGGTAGACGGATCAATTATATCTTTGGCTTTCACAGTTGAGACCGTTACCACTATCTGGCGACGCTCCATGTCTTCATCTGGAGTGGGTAGGGAAGTCATCTAGTTCGGCCACACGCTTTTTTGTAGACGTAGCAACGCTGGGCCATTAATCCACCTTTCATTTAGTGCATTCCAGGGCGTGAAATTAACTTTTTTTTCTGATAGCCACTTGGCTCCTAAATTCTTCAAAGTGGTAGCCAATTCAAAAAAAGTTGGTCGCCATTTTCAAAGACAAACAAAATCTTTCTTTACGCTGTCAGCGTTCTAGATAGACCCTCCAAAATTAAGTTAGGGAAAAGATCTTTAACCTGCTACAAAGTGGACACTAGGATGGATGATATACAACGTTCAGGCTCATCTAAATCCAAGATGGCGTCTAGTTATCGAGATGCATGTGCTACGTTTTGGAAACAAACTTAACGAGGAAATTTGCCGCGGATTTATCTTTGCAAATCTTTTTAATTCGCTATATCTCTTGGTAAGGTTATGATGAAACGTTCTAGTGGCCAATTTGGCGACTAACTTTCAGGATTTGGTCGCCAAAGTGAAAAATTTAGGCGCATTGGCGCCTGTGTTAGGCGCAATTTCACGCTCTGCATTCATATGGATCCCTTGCGATAGGTCGTCGGCCACGTTGTCTTCACTTGGGATATACATCCACTGACTTGGATCTGAGTTACTCTAAATTTCCCCAACCCTTGAAGACACGAACGGCTTGAAATTGCGAGACGGGCTTTGGGTCCAGGCCAAGGTGATTGTGATGTCGGTGAAGAACTTTACATCTCCAAACTGCACCCTAGACTCCTTTTGAATGACGTTTGCCAGGCGACCTGCTAGGACGGCTGCCTGTAGTTTTAAGCGTGAGATGGTGAGCTCCTTCAAAAAGCTGCTACTCTTGACAAACTTAACGAGGAAATTTGCGAGTTAATGCTATGAATTTTATTGTAAAGGCGTCGTCATCCTTTCTATGACGTATGTAAGCACACGCTCCAAATGCATCTTGCGACGCGTCTGCGAAGACACACAACATTGGTGGATCCACGGCATTGTCGGCGGATAAACTTCTCCCGAAGGACACGTTGTCCAGCTCTTTCATCTCTTGAAACAGAGAATCCAGTCCCAGTTGCCACAGCAGTAGTTGCATACCGATTTTCGCTCTGATTATAAACGCGGCAGCGAAACCAATAGGATCGTAGATCCGAGCACCTTGACTTAGGATCATCCTCTTCGTCATCTTTACTGGTACATGACTCGGTCTATCTACTAGCCTCAGGAGATCTACCTTTACCCTGATGTGGAACTTATCTTTCTTGAAATTCCACGGGGTTCCCACGACCTCCTCCTCTCCTCCTTGAAATACGTTAATTCCTTTCTCTATCTCACTGTTATCTTTCTCTGTAAGTTTCTTGTTGGAGATCCAACCCTTGACGGTAAACCCTCCAGTCTTCAAGACCTTGTCTATGTCTTCCGTTAATTTCCGAGCTTCTTGAAGAGTGTCCACTGAGTCGCAGATGTCATCCATGTAAGTATTGTTTGTAAGTACTTCAGCTGCTTCTGGGTAATCCCCCTTGTTGCCTTGAGCAGTTTTTCGAAGTACTATTTGCGCCATGGCGGGTGCAGGCTTGTCCCCAACAGTGAGAACTATTTTGATATACACGTCGGGAGCTCTGTTGGTTTCTCCACAAAGACCGGTGGACATGCTGATCTCTCTCGGGGATTAGTATCCTGTGGTACATTTTGGAAATGTCTCCCATTACCGCAATTTCTTTCTCTCGGAATCTCAAAACAACTCCAAACATACCATTTAGGAGATCAGGGCCTTTCTTCCAATAATCATTAAGTGTATGTCCTTGATACACAGAGGACGAATTAAAAACGATTCGGACTGGTATGCTCTCTTTGTCTGGCCTTAGCACTGCGTAGTGTGGAATGGAGTGGACAGGGCCTTGATACGCCTCCTCTTCTTTCTTCGACAGTTTTCGTGAGAAGTTCATCTTTTCAAAGCCCGTAATCTAACAAGAAACATAGATTGTTGCTATTAACTACTCATTAATTTTTATTGCAATTTTTATTTCAATTTTATGTGTTCCGGGCCCGCAGTAAGCTGTTGCGGAGTCCCTGCTTGTATTGTATACCATTTACATTTTTTTTGTATATATATATATTTAATATTAAATTGGCGAAGCTAATGAAATAAAATAAAATTTTCCATTTCCTCCATTTGGTTACAGTAGGCTCCCCCTTGTTCAAGATTCTTCTTAAGTCGCCGCTATGGTGATTCTAGCCGCTTCATTACCAACGCTTTGTTATCCGGTAGCAGATTGGGATCCTTTCTCCATGGGTATGGGATCATCCACTAATTGTTGACCTTCATGCATGACTTTTCTATCAGTTCAGATTCCTCTTGTTCGCTTTCCGTCAACTTGTCCGCATGGCAGATACAAGGTTTCACCTCCACTCTCATAGCTTCCGTCTCCCAGAAGCTAGACAAATCTACTGGTAAGGCAAACTTTACGTGTAATATACGGGTCACATCAGAAGTTTCTTCTGGCTTTCCTCCAAACACTACCCATCCGAGTGGGAAACTACGGGCTAGCAGATGATCAACTTGTCTCGTTTCACCGGCATGGAAATGTGCGTGATCAATACCGATAAGAAGGTCGACCTGTCTTTTGTCACGGCGAAATTTCGTATTCTGTGGACCAACAAGGTCCGATATGTGTGAAGTCTTGACTGCGGTGATCTCGTCGTGATGGTAGGAATTCTGATTGCCTTTACTGTGAATCTCTTATCGTTATCGATTGAAGCTAGCTGAACTTTGTACTCTTTCGTCTTTATCGTTTCTTCCTCTCCACCAACTTTAGTGATGGTTACAGATGTATCCTTCCTGTTTAGACCAAGAGTCTCCGTAGTTTCCATCTGCGCGCCTGAATCTAGTAGGACATTTCCAAGTTTGAAGAGACTGTTTGCGCTGATGATATTCGCAGAGAGGACTGATAAGATAGCTTCCTTTGTATTGATTGCCATAGCGACACCAATCTTGATAGCACTGGTCCTGTGAAGTAGCTGGTGATGGTTGTGTGGACACTGCGTTCTGTTCTCTATTTTTGTACACCGTCGGATTCGGCTACAATTATCCATTCTGTGGTCCCTTCTAGCCCTTTTCAGACAGCTGAAACACACGTGGTTAGCTTTGGCGATCTTGATACGTCCATCGATGCTGAGGGCTGCAAATTTCTGACACTGGTCGGACCAGTGTGTTGAGGTTTTGCACAACCAACATTTGTACCAGGGTAGCTGATCATTGTCATCGCCATAAGCTCTTAAGTGGCTGATAGTACGCTGGTTGTGTATACCAACTCTGATCGGGGATCAGTCATCCAGATCATCAACGCATGTAGTGTAGCGGGTTTCTTTTCCTTCTCAAGATCTACGGCCCAGACTTTTCGATCGTCGGCACACATCTTCTGCTCCATGATGGACAACATATGGCTATTATCCATATCACTTGGCAGGTCAACTTCCTTTAATGCGTTGTAACATCGCTTCACGAGATGTACCAGGTCGCAAAACCGCGCATCTTACCCCACATGTAGTGCTTTAGATTGGACAATATCTTGTGTGATAGTGTCTGACACGAATCATGGATCCCCATAAATGGAGTCTAAGTACTCCCAGGCGGCAACGTAATCGGTTCCAATTCCCTTTATGAGCTCGAATGGCTTATCTCTTAAACACGTGCGAAGCAGTGTGACTGCATCTCTAGGTTAATAATTGGCCTCAATCATGTGTTTGATGTCGGAACGGAAGATCGCATAATCTCGTACATTCCCGGAAAAAATAGGCAGCTTTGGTTTTTCGAGCTTGAAAGTACAGGCAGCGTAATCGGACTTCGCTGTATTGACAACAAATGGTGTTCCGGTGGTTTGAACTACTGATTCAATATTGTTTAATGCCAGATTTTGCACGTCATTAGCAGTCTGGGCACTGTTAATTACATCTACTAGACCACTTGCGGAGTTAGCACTTATTGCAGAGTCAACGGCGTTGACCACAGGAAGGGCTGGGTTTACCGATTGCATATTTGAAATTCCATCATTTCCATGCACCCCAATGCTCGAAACCTCCTCTTTTCCACTAGTTGAAGCCCCATTCTCGTCTGCATCCTCCGAATTTGATTGCTCTGCACTACCAATAAACATTTTCGCGTCTAATTCTATTCTCATAAAGATTTCCTGGCATTCGTCCAGCTACTGCTCTTCCGTTTGGTATTCTTTATCGTTCTCTATAAACTTTGTATACTCGTCGTGTTTTTCCACTAAACTTTCATATATTCATGGAACTTAGCTAAAGATTGTCTTTCTTCATCTGGAGGTCTATGGTTTTCCACTGCATGAACCAACGCCTTTTTTGGCGGCTCGTAGAAATTGAATGAAATGTTCCGCGTTAAAAGTATTGCCGATGAATTCTGTGGCGGGCTGTTGGCTACAGGTTAGCCTGATTCAGGTTAGCTTAACGGCTTGTTTCAGGTTAGCAAATGAAACTAGACCTTTCCCTTTGGAATTGATTTGCTGACTGAAGTGTGATCTAAAGTACAAAAGCTTAAATGTCAATCAATTTTCTAAATCACGTGATTCTCATTCATCTTTGACGAAGCACGAAGGTGCGGCAAATAACAAGCTATTGGATGAGGAGGATATTCAAAGAGGCAACTTGAATAGTAAATACGTAAGCTTAACTCTTGTGTTAAAAATCCTGATCTTTGATTTGTTTTTTTGTGTTCTATACTTGTAAAGTACGATCTGATATTGCGATACGAAGCCCGAGTAAACGCTCTCGCAGCGTCTAGTTTCAACAAGTAAGTCGTCTCTATTTGTCTAACAAAAAGCAATATGACAAGTGAAACGCAATTCATTCCAGGATAAAATCGTTGGATACAATATAATTTTCAATAATACATCCGACAGGTTGAAATCTTACAGTACTAGCTTAGCGTACTTACTCCTTTTTACGTGACGCGTGATTGGTTAAAAAATTATCCGTGATGCGTGATTTGATAGAAAAATTCAGCGTGATGTGTGATTGGAACCCCCCTTTGCCACCCTCTTCTAAAAGCAAATATCAGAGAGTGCATTCAAATGCGTCCTCAGAGGACAAGCGATGCTCGAAAGCCGAACGAGAATACTTCTATCTTCAAATAGTGCAATTTTCAAATGAGAATCGGAAGTAATCCGAAATTGATTTGGGTTTGCTTTCCTACGCTGTGATAAGTTGATTAAATAAAAATGAAACCAAAGAAGACTTGGACACTCGCATTTTCAGCGCTTTAGACAGTGTGCTTGTTTTTAATTTGCATTCTCACTGGCTCTTTGTGATGTTTTCCCTTTATCTGATTGGCTGGTGTGATGACTTTGGTTTTGATATTGCGACACCCGGTCGAAATGTGCTCAATCTTGCAGAATGTTCCAATTACAGTTTTCTCAATGAGTCAAACAGGGCACAAACGTTTTACAGAGGAAAAAGATCCCTGTGTGACAGAGCTTTACCCACTGGCTGGTACAGATTTGGAGGAGAGGCTGGACAACAAATGCCAGAGTCTTGTGTGGACTTAAGACACTGTGGTACGATTGCGCCGGGATGGCTCAACGGAACACACCCCTTGGTGGGGGATGGGGCTGTTGAAAGGAAGGTGTGTTTTCATGCACCAAGCGGGAACTGCTGTAAATTGTCTACAGATGTCCTTGTCCGAAATTGTGGAGGGTTTTATGTTTACAAGCTTAAGAAAACACCCCAGTGTGACCTGCGTTACTGCGGCAACGGATCATACTCAGAGCAAGGTAATTTCGTGAATTTCATGATTGTAAGTTTGGCTAATACAAATTAGACCCCAGATTCCGCAAATTGTGAAGGCGAATGGTGCATGTGATACTTTTAACTTCTGGGTACAAGAAATCTTTTTATGTAATTCTTGGCTTAGTCCTCCTCCAGTGATTGTAAGTTGAGCAGTCGAATAGTCAATATACAGCTGAAAAGCTGGTAGCAGTCACTGTTTGCAATTTCACCCTCAGGAACGAGATGGGAGGCGTAGATGGAACCCCCACCCCAGATTTTGTTATGATCACAGCAAGAATTTGAGAACATCTTACCATAAATGAATAGTCTGTTATGAATCTGCAAATCGAGAGGAAAATCTATTCTTATGCAAATTTAAGTGCGTTAGTCTGTAACTTTCGAACTTTCGTCGGCCACTTCATTCCTTCGATTTGGCTGAAATTTGGCATGAAGTCTTAATTTATGATCCTAATCACGAAATGGATATTAAAAAGTTCCAGTTATTTTTGCTTGCCAAAAAAACGGGAAAGTGCACTTGGTCTGCCTATACTTGCCCGCCAATATGGCAGATCGAAGGTGATTTTTTTTTAATTCAGCTCGAGTCCTATTGTAAAGATTTCTCAAAATCTCGTGTTATCCGTGAAACGATCTTACCTTTCCCTTAACATTTATTTAAAAAAACATGGCAAATGTCTGGTTTAACAATATATGATCCCAACGTTCTAAGGTCACTTTAGGCCGCCTTCAACAGTGACTGGAAAAATTGACCCCAACTTAGTAACCGAATACCTCCAGTGTTATCTCGATCCAGGGGTTACCGTTTACTCCGAACAACGTTTGTTCATAGATGAGCAGATTTCATAAACAAAAAAATGGGGGAAATGAAACGGTCCAGGAAAAAAATTATCAACCCGTACTGACCTGGCTATGTTTGGGACCTGGTCCTAAAAGCTCTTAAATCAATTTACGATAAGAAGAAAACGGTTAAAGTACATTTATCGTCCGGAAAGTTTCCTAAAAGTATGGAAATATCTTTTGATTTAACATAAACGTGATGATGTTCGAGCGAAATTGTTGCAATGGTATGATTTTAGTAACTAATTGAATTTAGACAAGCCACGCGCAGTTATGCTCAGAGTTTAATTCGCTTACCGTTTTGAGAACGAAGGATTTTGTGAAAGAAACATTCTTGTCAATTGTTATACACTATGGTGGTAGCAGTTGGTCATTTATTTGAATTAAATCGCTGCAAACTTAAGATTAATGATACAGTACTTACATGTCGCACAACCGGTTTCGTGGAGGATATGCAAATTTATCATGTTTTCCAACAGGAGTCAGTGTATCATTTCCTCAAGTTCGCAGCATAAGAAAACCCCAATCTTTGATAAGTCCATTAGAGTAATTTTCATTTATATCAAAAGTAAGCCTTAAATACCAACGTAATACACTCTGGCAGTGGCCACACACACGAAACGGAATGTGGTTTGAGATAGACATCAACTTGAACTCGTGAGAATGCACAAGCATCAAGTTTATTCTTGAGTCTAAAAGTGGAAATTTATTGCTTTACTTGAGGATCCTGTTTAGATAAGGTTAGTGGTTTTTTATCATTTTACTCTCCTTCATACTTCTTTGACAATTTTGCCCACAACAAGTACAAAAATTGAAATTTGTTTTGATTTTGTAGCGAACACTGAGATGTTGGTTTCAATGAGGTAAAATATTGGAAAAGTTCTCGTTTTTGACAGAAAGCCAAACTTATTATGTCAGTGATTAACGTCCCTTTTTACTTCAGTTTACTTTCCAGTTCTTTGCATGAAGAGAATGCTCCAGAATAATGTTAGTCAAGAGCGGTTTCTCGAGGTTTGCTTAGGATAGTTTCGGACATACCATGCAGTCGAGTGAGTGCATATCCCTTTCACGATGTACTCGAGACATAAAGCCTCATTAATGGGGCTTACACGTTGTTGATGCGTCTTTGAGAAGTGAAATTCAATTACTGTGGGCTAGAGTAGGTACCGAGACAGATTTCATGCTCATGCATCGATCAATTCGAAACTTCAACTTCCCTCCCCCGTGGAAATTGAACTCTTGAAAATTAGTTCTTCAAATTCCAACCTCAGGGGCCAGAATTATGTTCATATGGCCTACACAAGTTCATTTTTTTTTTAAAAAGGAAAACTCGGGGAACTCACGGGTATTTTACTTTCGTCCGTGCCTGGGGAATGGGACATTTGAACCTTACGTGGCTTGGGTTGGGAATTTGAACCGGAAATGTCAGGTCTTTCTAGAGGGTTAAAGAAGTAATGGTCTGCAAGGTCTAGAGTTTTAAGAGCTCGGTAAATGAGTAGAAAGTCACGGATTTGAATTTGTTTTGTCGATTTGACAAGCTTTTTAAAAGCGATTTGTCTAAAAGATATCGATTCTGAATATTTTTTCGGATTTGCAAAATACTTTTGGATTGTCCCTTTTCGGCTTCCTTACCTCTCTCATTGCCATCAAAAAATAAATGAAATATGGTTTCTTAGGACTTGGGTCTGAACTTCCGTTTTCGCTACAACCGACAGTTCAGTGATGAACAAGGATTCAATTCGAATTCATAGTTTCGTTTTTCATATAGATTCGGTGTAAAGCTTGTTTAAAGCCATCGAAAGAGGTTTTTAAAAAAATCCTTCACGAACTGCCTCTCAAAGCAAAATAGATCTTAGAGCAAACTCAATTAGCGATGACGCGCGCATTCCAACGAGGTGACGTTTACCTCAAACAACACTCAATTCATGTCTGTGCCCTTAATGAGGGCGCTTTATGCGTGCATTTTGCGCTCACCGTTGGTTAAAAAAAATTTGCATGGAAGTATCCTGAAAAGTTGGGTTTCCTCTATACTGATAAGACAATTGAAACATACGAAAAACGAAATTAAGACCTATTCAAAAACATGATGTAATTTACGTAATATCTAACGAAGGATATCTAAACTGTTGGCGTGACCAGGAGGATCAACTGCAAATGTAACCTAAAGGCTCAGATTTTGAGCAAGTCACCATTCACCACCAAATAAACTAGGTTGGAATTCACAAGAATCTTTTCTTTTCGAAATTTTCGTTCTCAAAACGGTAAGCGAAATCAAACCTTCCGAGCGTTAATACTGGATCGATTGTTTATATTTATTGGGTGACCAAATATTTATCCCATTGCAACAATGTCGCCCAGACATATTTACTTTTGCCCAAAATCAACAGATATTAGGAAACTTCTGGAATTTGCTTTCATTCTGGACGAAATAAGTACTTGGACTTTATTTCTGACTGGTAAGCTGATTTAGGAGCTGGTCCCAAACATAGCTAAGTCATCATAGATTAATAACTTTTCTCCTTTGACCTTTAAATTTACCCCATTTTTTATTAATGGGATCAATTCATCCATAAACAAATATTGTTTCAAATAAATGGCAACTTCTGGATCGAGGTAACATTGGAGATATCAGACTAACAAGTTGGGTAAATATTTTACTGTTCAAGGCGGTGCAAAACGACCTTCGAACGTTGACATAACCTGTAATCAAAATCTGTCATTTCCCACGTTTTTTTCCATAAATCTTATGAAAAAGGGTAGACCTTTTTATTTATAAAAAAAAGAAATCTTTACGACAGGACTGGAGTCGAAGTTATAAGAACACCTTCTATACGCCATGTTAGCGGGCAAGTACGGGCGGACTTGGTCGGCTTTATCGATTTTTTGCCAAGAAAAAACAACTGGAACTTTTTAATACCCATTTCGTGGTTAGGACCCTAAAATTAGCCTTCATGCCAAATTTCAGCCAAATTGGTAAGGTTACGTGGCCGCGATTTTTTTTTAAAGTTCGAAAGTTACAGACTATTGCTCTTTATAAACTGCTCAGTTGGGGCCGTAATATCACTCTGTATAGGACAATTTCTTTTTCTAGGAAAAAATAATATTTTCTGACTTTCAGGAGGACCTTATGATAAGCGTGCTAAAAATAATTTTCCACTTAACCGCCATTTTCTCAAACTTCGCTTTCCCTCAAAGAATGTTCCACTTACAAGTTGCTGAACGAATCTAACAGAGCGGAAACATACAACCCGACTTCATTCATTCACCTTTGTGACAGAACACTTTTTGGCTGGTACAGATTCAGCGGAGAGGCTGGTTTTAAAATGGCTGAACATTGTGTCAGCAAAGGTCGTTGTGGTACTTTTGCACCTGGTTGGCTCAGTGGGACCCATCCTACTTTAGCTGAAGGTGCTGTTGAACGTAAAGTGTGTTTCCATTGGTCTGCTTGGAGGAGTTTTTGCTGTTCGTTTTCAACATTCATCAAAGTTCGCAATTGTGGAAAGTTTTACGTTTACAAATTAAGGCCGCCACCTGTTTGTTCATTGCGCTATTGTGGCAATGGGTTATTTAAAAAAGGTGAGAAATTCTCAAATATAAAAATTCATGTTATATTGATACAACTGTTAATTTTGTTTTAACTTTCTCAATTATTTAAAACTTAATGCGCTGCACGAAATTGTGAAATCCATTTGGTCGACCAGGGTTTCTTATCAGCCTCAATATGCTACGTTCATGTTTAAACAACTTCGGTGTTCAGGTTTTCGAACCTTTCATGATCTTTAAACAGCACTTTTCACATTGGATTCTTGAAATACGACGAGGATCGGTTGCGCTCTTTGCGCCCAAAATCTGATTAACAAATCATGAGATTCCATGGTGCCGCTCGTCCGTTCAGAGTAAGAAAGAGTCACACTAAAATGACCTTGACTTTGTAAGTATTCCCTCTTTTATTTTAGAGTTAACAACAGAACCAGTAACGTCGCACAGGAGTGTGGACAATCAAGTTTCACATACTATGTCTTCCCCAACACAAGCTGGGAGAATGACCACAGGTATGCACTCACTTTTCTTGTGAAATGCTCTGGGAAGATGAACTGTAACGCTGTTGATTCTGCGGCTCAATTTTAAGGGCTTTTATTTCATTTTAGTTTTTTGTTCTACGAGTTTGGTAAAATGAGTCTGCTCAAATTCCTTCTTTTTAATGCTTCTGACCACCATGGTGAGTAGTTGAGGAAGGAGAGAGTGGAAGTGATCAGAGTGGAATGGAGACTGGACCTGATCTGAAATTGTAAACAGGCTGTTCATTATATGCACAATTTTGTATTGCCTGGTTGGTGGAATTTAGCACTATAAACATGTAGAAAATAAATGTAGTACCTTTCTTTCGCATGCGTTCTTCAGCTGCATTTATGCCCCGTCTGTAAGATTGAACAACATATACCACAATTATCAACGATCATGAGGCTCGAGCGAATTTTCATATTTATATAAAAAATTAGCTAAAACTGTACACACGTCTTTATCATATTTTCTTGCTGATTCTTTTTTAGCATCGACAACCGTTCTATCAGAGGAAAACAAAAGCACCAAATCGAATACAGGACAAGTCTTGACAAGATCTTGGACGACAACTAACTTTTCTCAGTCCACGTTGTTTACACAAAAATTACCATCAACTAAAAGACCTTTCGTAGGTAAAGCACCGTACTGGCCGGGATGAGATTTTCTTAGTCTGAATAGGGAAACCTGATAAATTGCATGCTGCGGGTTACCTGCGATAGACAAGCACTACATCCAGGATCTGAGTTCTAGTGTTAGTCTTAGTAGCTTTGTGAACAAGAAACCGTGACAAGCTCTGGTCCATAGGCCACAGGGCAGATGTCGTCCATAGACCACATGTCAGGTGTTCAAACTCAGTTTAATATTAATAATATTTAACAAAATTTGGTGAGCGAAAATTTAGAGTATTGAACGGCTTATCTCCTAAACTTCACCCTCATCGATTGATTTTAAAAGCATAGTTTTTGGACAACAAAAATTTGTCTTTGTTTGCGGCGTTCACAACTGTCTTTATTCTTTTTTTACTTTGTTTCCTTATCCTCTTTTGACTCACTCGCTTTCGTCTTTGTCCATTTATGTACATGTATTTAACAATATTTATGTTTCGCCTAAAAAATCAATAAATTCCCGTAAGGCACCGTGAGGTTAACCCCAGATGAAAATGATGGGCATGGTTGTTTTTCTCCATGGAGTTCAAATCACTGAAAACCCCGCCATTAATCATTCATGTTTTTTTTTACGTTATAGAAGAATCAACCTCCAGAATTCCTTTCAAAATAATCTGGGGACTAGTCGGTGCACTTGCATTAGCCATACTAGTTACGATTATTGTTATTTTTGCAAAACAAATCAGACGGAAGAGAAAAGAGAATGTCAACAAGGTATATTAACAAATTATAATTTATTTGCTTTGCTTTCTCTACTGATTTTAAAGTGGTTATTTTTTGTTTTCATGGAATGAGAACTGACTTGATTGACGTTTTGGAAAGTTATCCTTCGATTCTCTTTTATTTCTAGGGGAAGATCGGTGAAAATGATATTCACATGGTTGAAGTTACGACGGACATAATCAACCATTTAAGAGGTCTAGGCCGGCAATTTTCCACAGGACAGCTGGATACACCCCGCGCGGTCGTACACGAAGTATTGGTAGTTGATAATGAGACATATCTAAAGCAAATGGGAATTGACAGGAACTGGGAAATTCCTCGAGAGAGACTGGAAATAACGGAAGAAAAACTTGGTGGAGGAGAGTTTGGAGTCGTAAAAAAGGGAAGCTATATCAGGAGAGATGGTCAGAAACTGCCCGTTGCTGTTAAAATGTTGAAAGGTTAGACATAATCAAAAGTTATATTCGCTCTCTCCTTTTTTCTTGCAGAACCAAACAAAGCTTTAAGACTTTTTGACGACTTTTTGTTGACTTTTTGATGACTTTTTGTTATTTAAGAACCCATGGTGGGTACGATTAAAACTTTCGGTATAAGATCTTTGAGCATTATCATTCACGGCCTGTACAATTAGCTGCGTGTTTTGGCCACATGCCCCTACGAGACCGATTTTTCTAACACAGTGCAGTCTATTCGTCGCAATGAAACTTTTCTGCTGGTTAACCATGTTGAATAGCCTGTACTGAGGAAAAAAAGCAAACTCTTCGTGAATTTTCGATGCACTGAAATTTTGCTTTTTTTTGCTTTTTTTTAAAATTTTTTTTTTAACAGATAACACAGATGAAAAGCAGCGCATTGGTCTGATCCATGAGTTAGAAATTCTTAGGAAAGTTGGTCGCCATTCAAACATAGTGAGCCTCGTTGGGGCCTGCTCATTTGAAGGTATTACACGAAAATAAAGCTTTACAGGCAAGAACAATTTTGTTGAATATATATAGGGGTCATTTACCATATTGCCTGCCTGTCAGTAAGCTTACTTCTGCAATCAGCTATGAATGCAAAGATTTGAATTTTATGGCAGTGACTTATCAGATATAATTGTGTTTCCCTGCAGAAACGACCGAGTGTGGTCGGGAAAATTAATATACGTTAAGAAAAGTTAGATGCATGAAAATCTGTTTGACTTTTAGTTAAGTTACAAGTAAACCGAGTTTCTTTTAATTAATAGAAATAATTGAACGAAGGAATAAATATGTGTGGTGGGTATGCCAATTGAGCATAAACATTATTGATACATACATTTGTCGATGGCGCTTTTATTTCTGTCCTTAGAACCTTTGTGTGTGGTTGTTGAGTTTGTACCTGGTGGAAGTCTTGATCAGATATTGCGTGACAGTCGAATTCCTGTCGGGGCATTAGATACAAATTATGTCAACGTTTGGTCGAAACTGTCCGAGAGGGAACTGTTAAAAATTGCTTCAGATGTTTCAAATGGAATGCGCCATTTAGAAAGCAAACTGGTGAGTAATAATTTGTTGTGTGTACTCTTCTCGACTGACCTTGAAATTCAGCTGCAGTTAAGTGAATATTTCGTACAAACGTGAGTTCGTAAAAATTTACGGTCTTTTCGTTTTTGTGCGACGGTGGTGTAAAGGAAATTAAAAAGGCACTCACCTTCGGATTTTAACCATTAAGCTACAATGGTCTTTGCACGGCGACAAGGTGCAAAAATACCTTTTTCCCTCACTACGTTCGTCCAAATGAAAAACATTTTCCTTCTAATTCGGACAGAAGATAAACAAACAGAGACATAAAGAAACTACAGTAAATACAAGTTGGGTGGCTTTACTGAGCTTCTTGGACTCTCTTTTCATTTTCGGAGAAAGAGGAAACATACGAATGTTTTAACTAACCTGTGCGTCTTTCATTTGTTATGGGTTCAGTGCGTTCATAGAGACTTGGCTGCTCGAAACGTTTTGATCGGTGAGGGACTGATAGCAAAGGTGGCAGATTTTGGAATGTCACGTGACATTTCTCAAGATGGAGTTTACATTAAGTGCACCGAGGTACATAAACGTCTGTTGAGGCCAATCCTCAGCAAGGAAACAATTTTGTTTTCCTAAGTCCGTTCCATTCCATTTTTGTAATTTATACTCCCAGCATGCTTAGTGAGCGCGTCTCAGTGTCGTCGTGTAGCGAGAAAGAAACCATGTGCTTTTTAACGCGCTAGTCGCCGGGTGTTTCTCATCGTATGGTGAGTCTTAGGAGCTCGTGTATTTCCAAATCCCGTTCCAACAGTGATTAAGTGTTTGTTTTGTAGGTTTTTACTTGCGAGGTGAAGCTTGTTAGCCAAAGATGAGACTCCAATTCCGATCCTGTTGTGTTGTTAAGAAAATATGCTGAGTGTGCAACTCTCGATTATTAAACCTTGTGTTCAAGAACCCTTGTGTTGTGAAGGCGCGTTCTTTGTCCCCTGGACAACGTCTATGTCACTTTTTTCAATTTCTTTTAAACTTTTTATTTGCAAGTCCATGAAAAAAGAAAAAAACAATAATTTACAGTCTTGTTTTTTTCAAAAATGGATATACCGGGGTTACACCTTACTTGTATTCTCAAATGCAAAATTACAGGGCAAAATCCCGTGGCTATGGATGTCTTTGGAGAGTTTTAGGGGAATCTACACCACGATGTCTGATGTGTGAGTAGCGGCCTATTTTATAACTAGCCATACCGTTCATACCGTAAAAATAAATCGTTTTCCGAGGAAAATGCTAAACAGGTACGAGAAAGTCGAGTCGTCATCAGTAACGCTCATTCACATTTGGTTTTTGGTGTCTCTGGATGTCTTGCTCTTATTTTTATTATTGATCAGAACACGATAGATTTGTCAGAATCAAATCAAAGTGTTCACGGTTTTCCAACACTCTGTCTTGTATAAGGACTATGATAGGTTTCGATCACCTTCATCAGGTTCAAAAGAAAGTGTTTTTACATCAGCGGTGAAATAAACAGACAAAAAAACAAAAATAACATAACCAAATGACACTATACCTGGCAACTGCACCATTAGCCCTGCCAATAACTATATTGACCTGTACGATACACAATGTTAGTGATTGTATTCTTAGCCTTTAACTTGTTCTACCATAACAATGCTAAAGCAGTTAGACGATTGATCATAGTTTTAAGTACGAAAGCGCAGGCGTGCATGATTATAAAAAGCACGAACGATTAAACGAACTTAGTCCGGCTAAAAGACGTTAATTTGTAACGCTGGAATCTAAAATACAGTATTGTGTGTTTTTTTCCAGCTGGTCATTTGGTGTCGTTCTCTGGGAAATCGTCACCTTGGGTGAGTGGAAACGTAAAAGTAGCATCCTGCCTCTTTCCTGACCGTAGTCTTGCTCGGATGCCTAAAAACCTTGATGGCACATTGATATGAAAGCAGAATCATGCTGAGATGGTTTCTTTTATACCAGGCAACAGAAGACACTTCGAAAACAAAATTAAACATAAGTCATACGTATTAGACGATGTAGATTTGACTGAATTGCCCGTAGAGATTCTACTAACCTTGGACCTTCCGATTACGTGTTCGATTACTGTTCTAACTGCTCTGCATGGCCACGGCTACAGCTCGTTGGCATCTTAGGTCACAGTATAGATTCAGTTGAAATGCCAGTATTAAACGTCAGCATGACGCTCCGATCAGTAACGTCGATCGCACCCTTTGAAGAGAGATTTGGAAAATGTGTGCCTGGTCATTGAACAGAGATGGATTTTACCCTTTATTAACGATGAATTTTCTTCTACAGGTGAGCAACCTTACATCGGAATTACAGGCATTGTACAACTTTGTAGCTTGCTACAGGATGGAACGAGACTTGAGAAACCACCTCACTGCTCTAAACAACTGTAAGTTATTTAATTAATAGGGGAGATTTTAGGTTCCAAGCATTGTAGCTGCAGGCTTTGCACCATGACTGGGGGTTGTTTTTGTAACTAACGTGCCCCAGGTTTTGTCCTGTGTTTGACAAAGAGCCTCAAGAAGTGATTATTTATGCTGCAAGTCAAAGCTACAAAGAATGTTCTCTTTTTTACATAACAATTAAAAACGGGCAGATTTCAAGGCTGATAACATGAAAATGGAATGAAGCACTTTAATATCCTATTGGTTGTTCGATCATTTAAATCTTCTTAAACCAAGCGCTTTGTTATTGCCTATTATCTCTAGTTTTTGAAGTGTCGCCTAAGGCCTGTTGTTAGAAACAATTTTAGGCTTTTAGGTGTTAGAAACCTATGCAACCTTTTTCATGTTTAGTCATAAGAGGTGACATGTTACTTCAATACGCAACCCCTCTACTTTCATTGCGTCCTCTTTAGGTATGACATTATGCTAGAGTGCTGGCAAGAGAGACCAAAAGATCGCCCAACTTTTAAAGAACTCCATTCGAAACTTCACTCGATCTTGTACGAGACCACGGTATGGATAAATTACAAGTAAAAAAACTCTAGAGCTGGCATTATAGTCGACCAAGAACCAACACCAATGTTATCGCAACCATTAATAGAATAAGGCAGACATTATAAGTAGCCAATGAGAACCCTTACATTTAATGCAAAAAGATATATATCGGCGAAACAGGAAGACGAATTGGCGACCCATCCCGAGAGCACCTCCGTGACGTAGAGGGGAATGACAAAGACGCATCCAAACCAGTCGCTAGACATTTTAATCCCCCTAATCACTCTAAGTGGCATATGTTATGCCCAGTCTGTAGCTTTTCCTCGCATTTAGGCAGTTCGGAAAGCCACAAAACTCTAAAATAAAAATTTATCTGCACTCCTGATCCCCACCAAGAGATTACGAACCGGCGGTTTACAATCCCTCTTCCCCACGGATTATTTTCCCCACCAACTGAAATTATTTTGATAAGTTACTCGGCAATTAAAGCTAACACTGTAAGCTGAGTCATCCGGCCGGTTAAGACTTCTACAGAATGAATAAAGGAGGAGTTTACTTTGTGTTACTTATTAAATAACTCAGGAAAGCCGCTTGATATATGGTGATATATTGATTTCTTACTACCGCAGGTTACGTACATAAACATTTCCTATTCAGGGGGAAGAGGAGATCACGCTGATTTTCAAGAGCTCTCTGAGAGCAATAGGTGATCTCAGCAGCAAAGGTCGTAGACACGGAGCAGCGTCCCCCACACGTTTAGGTCCAGAAATTATCGCCCGCGTCACAGGATAAAACTGGCTTTGTAAAGTTCTCTGTCCTATGATCTTCTTAAAGTGTAGTAGTTAGTGTACTCTTCCACTTCATAAATTTTCCGATTTGCAAATTCATTTGAAATTTGCACGTAAAACCGAAGCAACTGATTCAATGAAAATGACTTTCATTATAGGGTGATGACACTGATTTAATCACTTATTGAACTCTAGGCCACTCTTCCATTCCAATTTTCCCGAAAATATCTTTTTTTTTCTCCTTCCGAGAAAATATAAACGCTTGTTTGGTGACTGTTTTCGAAAACACAATACGAAACTCTGAGGTCTCATTATCTAATTAAAGTTTAGTCGTTGGTTATAAAAACTGCATCCTGAACGATCCTCAATTTAGCTGAACCTTTTATCGGAACATTCAATATTGTGAACAGCGTTAAGAGGGCCGAAAGCTATTTAACAGTAGAAGAAAATTTATTTAATTAAATAGGCCCTCTTATAAAGCCTGAAGCCCACTGATTGCGTGGTTTGGGTTAGACCTCGTGTAAATAACGGGCCCTAAATGTTCCTATTTATAATCTCCTTGTAAATACCTTTCGGCTGGGTTCTGTTTAGTCTCCTTTGTTTTTTCTCCTCCATGTCTTCAAATTAGAATGAGAACATGCTGTGTTGTGGAAGGGGAGATTTTGTGAGGCAAGAATGTACGAGGCGGTTCTTTCTTTTCAAGTTTCGATAGCTAAACTAGACCTCACTTCACAGGGAAAAGAGGCCTGAAGTAAAATGCTCTCGTTTCAAAGAAAAAATATTTTCCTCAAAGCTTCCATAATATTCAGATCACACCCATTGAGACATTTCTGCGAGGAAAAGTTTGATTTAAACTACGTGCCGGTGACCGCGTCGGTAATCATTTTGGGATGTTTATATGGGCTCCTGGAAAAACAGGATCAAGGATCTACGGATCTATGGATTGCCGGATCAAGGATCAAGCATCGAGGATCAAGGATCAAGGATCAGTTCAAAATAAATCAAATTAATTAAATAAATTAATAGGCATGACTGATTGCTAGGCTTGAGTCGATTGTGCCAGCATAATTTTTAGCATAATTTGACAAAACGAGCATAATTTTTATCTTTTTTCAAAGAAAAGCACTGCCGGCATAATCTGCATTTTTACTTCCACGATGTGAACAATTTTCGTAATTTTGTATTGAATATACTTCTCTTGACTGAATTATGTTTCTAGAATGTTGTTGCTAATAATGAATTGCGCCTACGGTGAATTCACTGCGGTCGTTGTAACGTTTGTTGGTTTTAGGCCCTACTCGTGCGACTCGCTAGCGAGTTGACTGAGATCCAAGATAAAAGATGGCGTCCACCTCGTCGAACACTTTTAGTTCTTCAGGCAATGTCTCATTAATTAACTCCTCTTTCAACGATTCGCAAGACCATGCTCTAGGAGATTATGTTCGGGCTTGTGTTATGCTTCAGTGCAATAAACGCTGATAAGCGTACTACTCTGCATCCTTGCTTTGACTTAAGAAGCTCCATTGATTGAAAAATGATGAGCAGCATGTTTATCGATTCTGAGGAACAAATGCAGGGGAAACATGCAACGATACAATGTTTGATAATTGGTTCATTAAAATAATGGGCTGCAGTTACCAGTAATCAGTTGCTGTTTGTTTTGTGTTTACCCCGGTGCTCTGCCTTTATTTTGCTTAAAAATCAAGTAGCATAATTTTGATGCCAGGAGCATAATTTAGAGAAACGAGCATAACTCGGGCTTAAATTTCGTAAATTTTGAGCATAATATGCCAGTTTTACGGGCACAATCGACTCAAGCCTGCGGGGGAAGGGCTAGAAAAACAACACCTGTCTGTCAACAGAGAGAGATCTTGACTGCGTCACGTAGATGAGCAATCAACCATGCCTATTAACTTATTAATTCATTTGATTCATTTGAACCGATCCTTGATCCTTGATCCTTGGTCTGGTGATCCTTGATCCTTGATCCGGTGATCCTTGATCCGGTGATCCAGTGATACTTGATCCAGTGTTTCCAGTCAGTTAGACCACCCGAAGAAATCACTGATTTTGAGTTTTTCTGAAACAACCTGGAACTCGACCTACTGATCTCCTCGTGTTTCTCATGTCTTGTTTCATTCCACCGAAGAGCAACGACTGGGTAAAAACAATTTCCATTTCCGCTGACAACGAATTCTCTCCTTTGATGACGTAATTTGTTCATCGAAAACTTTAACTAGTACGAAAACAGGCTGTACACACATCAATACAACAATAGGATTGTACTGAGTTATTTCTCAAAGGTTTAAAGTTAATTCTGTGGTATTTCGAGACCATTGCTCGAAGTCAATTTCATAATAAACCTCACGCAAGGTGAGGTTAATAGGTAGATTTTATCGGATATTTCATGGTTCATAACACAAACCCGTACCCCTCCCTCGTATCCACATTACCCAAATCCATTTGTGATAAAATGGCGGCGAAAAGCGATGATCTCTCACCAAAATCGTGTATTTTTACATGGAACAACTTTGCGTAAACACAAGGATTCGACTACTGACAACTCTTTCATCGCTGAACTACGAAAAATGTCAAACAATTCAAGAGTTTGTCGAAGATGAGAAACGCTTGGCAAACCTTACCGTGGGCCTGCCACAAGCATCACGGAAAAACAAGCCGAAGCATGGGTTATGTCCCATTTCACGATTAGTCCTTTAACCTTGCTGAAAATTTCTAGAGTTCTTAAATTATTTTGAACTAAATGAACCTTGAACTAGATAGACGACTCAGTTGAACGCCTATGTCAGTCGCTATTATTTTGTGGTAGGGGGGGAAGGATATCTTCGCTCACCTCGCTCATCCCCCCACGGGCTGGATTGAAGCCCGTGAGGATTTGTGACAAACATTCTGCTCTGTTCGCCCGGAACCTCGTTCAAACCCTAAATAACTTGTTTTCCACCAGAAGATCATGCACCTCGTGGAAATATTAGGTAATTTTTTTTATTTGTTTCCTGTTAAGACTTATATTTTTATTCCATCATACATTGTGATAATTTTTAGCGAGAACTATTTCGTGACATGAGGTTTTAGAATTTGACTTTCAGACGAATACAACTTATGTACTTACTCATGTATTCACAACTGTACGCCTTCGTTTACGAGGGTGACCGGTCGTTTCGCCAACGGTAGTTTCGCAAACGTCTGTGCTCAATTCGCAAACGTGTAGAAGTCAGTTCGCGAACGTTTAGAAGTCAGTTCGCAAACGCTTTAAACATTACATGTCAAACTGGGATTAATGAGTTATATGATTCAGAATACTACATAACTGACACGTTGTATGCGTAAATTATTGGATGTGAAATCTCAGCGCTTATTTCTCGCTAAAGTATATTTCATAGTCAAATGGACAGTTTTTATCCCGTGTCTTGATAGTTAGTGGACCTTCCCTCAAAGAGCAAAGCTTCCTGATAGAACACAACAACAGTAAGTCCTGTTTCATATCGGTAGATTGATTTGCGGATTACAGCTACTGTACATGCAAAACACATACGCTGTGATAGAGCAAAATCAACCACAAGACTGTATGACTTAAGCTAGAGAGTTAGTTTGTAAGCTCAAACGTTGATATCTCACATCTACAAAGTGTTTGAACTGACTTCTTCCCATATAAATGTTTAAAACGTTTGCAAACTGACTTCTAAACGTTTGCGAACTGACATCCACAAGTTTGTGAACTGACCAGAGACGTTGGCGAAACGGCCGTTGGCGAAACAGCCGTTGGCGAAACGAATCGTTTGCGAAACGACCGACACTCGTCTACGAGAATGAGTCGCCGTATAGGTCTTGTTTAATATCAAAGAAAACGATGTTGATCATTTCACGTGAGCTGCATTTTCAGATCTTCATTAATGAAATTCAAGTTTTCTAGCTTTTCGAATATTCGAAAGGCTAGAAAATTTGAATTTAGATATTGAAAACCATCGTTCATCGCATGCAACATAAGAAAACAGAACAGCATCGTCTTAGTACACAGTTTAGGCTTTTGGCTTGCATTAAAGAAAACAGGGAATAAAATTTTCGACAGATCAGTTTAAGTACACTATAATGGTTTATTACAATGCTTAGCATGTGGAGTGTTCAGCTGAGAATGCAAATTTAATTTGACACTCTCAGCAGCTAGTTCATGTATTTCAAGGTCCAATATCCAGTGCTCTCAAGTACCCACTCATTATAATAGTAATGCATTTTTAGTCCATTTTCCTATACTACTTTCACCTGATTGATTAATTATTCCTAAGTTGCTCTTAATTTAACAAATAGATTCCAAGTTGCCCTGTGTCTGTTCAGTAACAGATCACAGATGATGTCAAAATGTGGTAAGATCAAAAAAGTGGCACATGAAGCGCAGCCGAGTGTGTCACTAATTTTCTTACCACATTTTGACATCCGCTGTGATCTATTACTGAAAAGACGCATGGTAACTTAGAATCTATTTGTTTTATATAACAAAGAATTAAAAAAAGTTTTAATGATGATGTCATCTATATGTCTGTCCTCCAATAGATCATAGGTGAGAATCAATCAGAAGGTGTGCATAACTCAGCTTATTATGTAATAATTTGTAGAATGTCAGTGTTCCATTATGGTTAAACAGCTGATGCTTTAATGACACCTGTTGTAACACGTTACATAAAAAATCTTCCTAAGCACAGTGTTTTGGAAATCATTTACCTATGTCACTTAAGACTGTTCCCAACTTTCATTCTTGACAGTTCTACTATGAATTACTAATTATGTGATTTCCTTTTAAAGTCAAACCTGTATTATTATCAATATACGCGGCCAAATAGAAAATCGGCCTCTTCAAAACACACGCTCAGCGGGCCGCAAAAGACTGACAGCGGGCTGCTAATGCATTATCAGCCCTACAGCTGATTGGTTCTTGCTTCATCATCCGATGGATTTTAACCAATTAGAGTAAGCCTAGTGTTGACGCGGGAAAACCATTCATTTGTGAAACTCCGGTTTTGAACTGCAGTTTTTTCAGTCGTCGAATCGTCTTCGAGCGAAAACTGAAGTAATGGAAGAAATTAGCAGTCAAAACTCAGATTTGGGGCTAGAAGATTTGGACAAATTAGAAGCAAAAGGTCAAGCGGAAAATACAAAGAGAGCCACTTCGTGGGGGATCAAAAAATTCGAGAAATGGTGCAACAAACGAAAGCTGAAAGTTGACTTCAATTGTGTAACACCGGTTGAGCTAAATGAATTACTGCGGAAATTCTATGCTGAAGTTAAATCGGAAAAAGGCCAACCGCTAACACCAAGTACTCTAACTGGTATTCGAGCTGTGAAGTGACTTTGAATTCATCATTCACTTAGCTTGTATTATTAAAACTCGCATTCTTGATATCATTTGGCCTTGTTTATTGATAATAATGATAATGACATGACTTTTTTTGGGAATATTGTTTATTTGCGCCCTTGTAGTGTCATTTTGCGCTCGGGCCGCAAATGACACTACGCGGGCACAAATAAACAATATTCCCTCAAAAAGTCATGTTATTCCCTTATTAGCAGTCACCCCCAGGGTATGGCATGGTGATCACTTCCTGCAAGTTGACCATTTTATACAGGTTCTACAGAATAGGGGTATTGTAAAAAACATCATTTTATGACACATGTGACCATTTGATGTATGAAACTTGCTCACAAATACTACTGGCGTTGATTTCTGGAGATAAACATGGACAAAATATACTGGAAAGCTTTTTCTTAGTTTTATTTGATTGGTTCTGGTTTAAGGGAACATCCAGCCAAGCAGCTAGGACTCAGTTAAGGGTGATTATGATTGCTTAATAGAAGTGACTGTTTAACCCTTTAACTCCCAAGATCTCATTAGTAATTCTCCTTGCTGTCTGGTCTG